AGAGATTTGCGGACAATGAAGAAGTAATCGAAGCTGTAAATGGTTATTTTGAGGAGCTTGACGAATCAGTCTATAGAGATGGCATTAATAGACTGGAACACCGCTATGAGAAATGTATCAGCCTTGGAGGAGATTATGTTGAGAAATAAAAAAAAAAAAATTTTAAAAACCTTGTTTTTCTTGGTCAGGCCGGAAACTTATCAATCCACCCTCGTATAATACCACTTCCTGTAAAAATAGGATGCTAATGCGCTGGTCCGCATCACCCGCTAGTCCATCTCTCTAAACTTTACCCTAATTGTAGAAAAGTTTGTAATTTTGTAATACCAAATGTTTAAGCGTGCGTTTCCTCACAAATATTAAATCCCTCAGTTAAGACAGTAATGTTATCATGTTTTTAACAAATATAACAATATTCTTCGTAAATCTTGATAATCTATTGGGATCGCAGGGGAGGTATTCTGCCTTTTCCCTTTGGAGTAAAATACAATAAGAATAAATTTTGCTGCAACCTGAAAGTGTACAGAGTTTTAGGATGAAGCATCAAAATTGTGGGATTTGCATATTAAATTAAATTATTAAGCATTCGGCAAAATGTCAGTTGTCAAGTTTTTAATATTAAAATACTGAAATTGTGTAATGCTTGTCGAAAATTTCGTGTTGAATGGAATTATAATGCGAGTTGTGATTTATAAGCGTCATTATTTTTATTTTCTCTACATCCTGGAATTAATAGCTTTCTTTATTGTACCGTGAACGGCTGTGACACCTGATAAGCAATACACATAATATTGATTTATCTGCTGTAAAACATCACTTCCCATTGTTTACAGCTGTCGTATAAAATCGGGGCGCTTTGTGCACCCGCTCCCTATCTCTCGCAATTCTTCTTTACTACCTACAGAGCTGAAAATATCATTCTCGGCGCCCTTAAAAGTAAACATCTTAAACGAAAATAAAAAAAACACAATACTTCATCGAAAATTCTATTATTCTTACTCGTCAATAAACTTGAATAAAATTGGTAACAAAATGAAACTTAATCATCAACAACATACGGTTGTCAGTCCTAATAAGACTGGTTGCAGTCCTATCCTGAGCAAATCTTCTCATTTCCTTAAAACTAGAACATCTCACATCCCTAACCATTTGTAAATAATTATCTGATTTATGTCTACATCTACCGCTCTTAACTTCTGTTTCTGCTTCGAGTGTATCTCTGACCAGCCCTTCATGCCTGAAAAGGTGTCCTACCGACCTGTCTCACCATTCATAGCGCCCTCTGTTCTCCTACTCTTTCTAATACGTCCTCAGTTACAACCTTCTCTATTCACGGTATCCTCATCATTCGCCTGTAGCACCACATTTCGAACGTCTCTAACTTTCCTTTTCCGCTGCGTCCACTGTCAACGTTTCGCCCCCGTAGAGAGTCTTGCTCAAGACATACACCTTTAACGATCTTTGTCGAATTTCTAAATGAAGGTTAATCATCAAAAATAAATTATATCCTTAGGGTCACAAAATGTATCTATATTTTAAACAGGTAATGATTCATTAGCAATGTTTGTTAGTTGTGGTTCGTTTACCGAAATTTTTATACTTACTAATTTCTAAATATTTTTGATGAACGGAATCGTACTCTCCCCATGTTATGGATCTGAATCTGTTGCGTTCTCTTGAAGCTGCGAGGACTGGCTCTTGCTTGTGATGTTCGTTAGGATTTCTGAAACAAGCAGAAAAGTCTTCAATTAAAGACATGTCTTTTCATAAAGGTACACTACACTGCAGATGTACCATACATTATATTAACTAATAACATTCAGTTAGTTTAATTCCAATAAATAATTATGGCGCAAGTAAAATAGCTACAGCTTATATTCCTTTAATGAAAGCTTAGCTGAGTAACAACACAAATTTCCACTTTAATTTTATCATAATTTTAGACTCTACTAGAGCATCCTCAGAAGGAAGTATTGAAATATGAATACATCTTTTTAGTATACCCGCCCGGGTTGAAAAAGTGGTAGAGGGTATTAAATTTAAAGTGGGAATTTGTGTTATTACCGGATTAATATTCATTATGAATTTTATTTTCCTTAAAGGCTGAAACAATCAACTGTACCTTTAATTTTAAAGTTATTTTAATTACTGTAGGTATAGGTTGAATAAGATCGGGGACAAACGAGTTAAATAAATCAATGTTGAGATATTTTTTTAATAAAAGTGTGACATTACATACGGTTTCTATAAATAGTATCTGTATCTATTTGCGCTGAAAGTAATTAAAAGCAAATAATGTAGACGACGATACACTGCCATATTTTTGATAATTAGACACCTATTCAACAACTTTAATTTGATTAGCGATTTACTGAATGAACAAGCTCGAAATCGCGTTCTTCATCCAGTATTTTCATATAACTGCTGAGTTGAACTTAATCTTCATTTTTTTTCTTTATAAATTTATTAAATTTTAGTTCAGATCTATGTCGCTCTCAACTTTTGTTTCTGCTTCGAGTATATCTCTCCTATTCTTTCTAATATGTCCTCAATTACAACTAGGGTTGCCACCCGTACTTTATTATAAAGTATTGTACTCTATTTCGACTGTGCGTACGTTATACTTTAAAAGACACATAAAGTACGCAAAAATACTTTATTTAAGGCCTTAATTAAACATCGTAATTTTATAAGCGATTATTCGAAATTTAGAGTATTTTTATATCAGTAATATTGCACAGAAAAATGGCAAGGCATATTTACGGAACAACCTGATTTCCCGAATCTGTTCAAAGTAGTTTCACGTTTGCTGTCCGTTCCGGCCACTTCAGCATTTACAGAAAGAGTATTCTCTGTTATGAACGCAAAGTGGCGGGACGACAAGAATAAAGCTTCATTAAAACTAATTAAAAATGAACTTTTAGTTTACTTAAATCTTTGTTTGCCATGTTTAGAGGCTATTAATGTATTTAAGAGCGACATCGATTTGTTACTGGCTGCTAGGTGTAACAAAAAATATGTTTTTAAAAAGAAAAAATAAAATACTTTATTTTTATGCTGAGTACTTTTTTTAACCTTTTAGTCGAAAAATACTCTATGTAAAACCTGAAAAGGTGGCAACCCTAATTACAACCTTCTCTATTTACGGTATCCTCATTATTCGCATGTGACACCACATTTCGAACGCTTGTAACCTTTTCTTTTCCCGCTGTCTACGTTTCGTCCCCGTAGAGAGTCTTGTTCCAGACATACACCATTAATAATTTTTTTTTTTCGAATTTCTTAATTAAGGTTAGTCATCAAAAATAAATTATATCCTTAGGGTCACAAAATGTAGTCAATTATATTCATATTTTTTCTTTATTAGAATTAGTATTAGAACATGTTTTATTCTATTAAATTAGGTACAAAAAATGGTAATGCTACATTCAATACCATAAAGAAAACTACATCATGCAACCAGTACTTTTATATTACAATGTCGACATTAAATGGTATGTCGAATCGCCGCGCCTGGTTGGATTTATTTTCAGTTCATTGGGTCGTGCTGTATGTCATAATCCGCATATATGTACCGTTGCTTACATCTTCGTTGCGAGTATAGGTTAATTGCATATGTGTTTGGCGTTTTAGTGCTGTACTTTATACGAATTATTAAAACAGAAGTTGTTACCGAAGCTCTTTATTACTTTCTGTTTCGAAGGCGGGTAATTTAAAAGTAATTTGCACCGTAAAGGCTCTTGGTGCTGATGTTGACCGGATCTGATGCAGCCTGACCCAACTTGGTCAGAGGAAATATACATTTTCCTGGTTTATGCATTATACACCCCATGCATTATTGCAGTATTTTTGAGAAGAAATTAACTTCAGGTAACGTTAACAACAACGTAAAAGCTTTCTCGGAAATGATGAAATGGAACTGTGGAATTTAATACAGTAGTAATGAGCAAAAAACTATTTTTGTTCGGTATCTTTACTTCTTTCAAGTACGCCCGTAGGAAAAATTTCCATTACACTACAATAGGAAACAATGGCAAATTTGTAAATTCCATTGATAACCATTAAAAATAAATGAAAAATAAGTTTGTTCCATTTAAGATAATTCCATTAACTATAAACCCGTAGGAAAAATTTCCATTCCATTTCCATTGAACAAAGGCCATTTAATTACCACTGATAATAATTAATGGTAATAAATGGAGAATTGCCAATGGGATGAATGGAATTTCCACTAGAATTCTAGTGGAAATCCCATTCCCGAACTCAATGGGATTTCCATTGGGTTCCATTGGAACTTCCATTCCTGAATCCAATGAAAATCCTAGTGTCAATTCTTTATCTTTTACCTTTGATTATTGTTAGCGGTAATTAAATGACATTCTTTTTAATTAAGATGAAATTTGAGGTTTTTCGACGAAAAAAGTATGATTTACATGACAATGATTATACCAAATAATGTCTTGTTTATTATTTTTACAATTTGCTTTAACAATCACGTTAACTTCAACACGTTTTTATCAATTTTTTTTAATAAGTTTTAATCTTCTCAAACCAGATCTTCTCCATTTTTAGGTACCCAATTGTTTTTCCATTTATATTGAATAGTTTTAAATAGAATTTATAAATTTTGCATTCGTTCCCATTGAAAATCAATGGAAATTTTT